TTTCCAAAAGTAGGCAGTCACCTTAATCCAATTTTACGCTATACAAACACAAGTAGCTCTGCATTTTTATGTTTACAACAATTCATGGCCATCAAAAAAACAGACTTACCGATACTGACTTCGAACTCTATCACTTCATCGGTTCTACTTATCATGGCAGCATCTTTAAAGCACGCAAATAGCTTGAAGTGATCTTGTTTCAAGAAAGGCTGTAAACAGAAGGAAATTATAAAGAAAAGTTACTGGCGAGCTAGGAATTTGGAATAATTTTGCATGGGCGGGGGAGGAATGAGGAATGCGTGCGCATTTGAGTAGTAATAGTAATATATTGTGCTTCTTTGCTGTCTTTGTTACCTGGATCTTGATTTTGTCTTCATCGTGCAACTTGCTGGTCGATGGTTCACATGCAGGATCAGCCTGTTCTGTAGTGAGTTCAACCAATACTCTACCACGATACGCTGCACCTTCACCCTATAACACACACAATGGGGGAAATTATAGTAAATGATGGTGAGAGATTGATGCAAATGAGGACGAGAATATGATCGAAAAATCTTCACCCTACAAGACGAAGAATGACAGCAAATCATAGTAAATGATGGTGATAGAGGGTGACTGGGATGGTCAGTGATAGATGGTGACGAGTTTATTATTGAAAAAAGCTTTTACTCTACAAGGCAAACAATGACACCAAACTACAGCAAATGATGGTGATATATAGATAGTGCAGAGATAAAATCAAATATTACTTACAATTCCTTTGTCTAAATCCTCGTTCTCACTGGAAATCAATGAGAATTCCCTCTGAGAGCCATAGAAATTAACAAAGCAGGGACCAAATTGTGGATAGAAACCTAAGGGCAGGAAAAACACACAGTTATTTATCGGGATTTGGTATTACTGTTAGAAAGAAGCGAGGAAGAGAAAGGAAAAGAGAAAGGAAAAGAGAAAGAGATGAGAAACAAGGCAAGACAAAACGAGAGACAACAAAGAAAAGGAGAGTGGGAAGAGAAGAGAAGAGAAGAGAAGAGAAGAGAACTGATTACCTGATCCATTGTCTTGTCCAGATATTTGTGAGAGTGAAAGCGAGGAAGTAGCGATGGTCTCAGGTGTTCGCCCTCGATCCCTAAAGAAAATTAAAACCGTGAAGAACTCAATTCAAGACAAGCCAAACTGATCAAAAAAATAACTAAACAAATCAATTTTTTTGTTTACCAGTCAAAGAAGCGTAGCTTGATTTTTTCACACATCGATGGCAGCTTCAAATAATAAAATAATCTACCGTTAGCCAACAACTAAATGAAGTACTCCAAAAAAATTGATTTTTCTAAGTTTATCCAAATTTAATCTAATGCGTTTACCGCTCCTGGGTAGACGGTGGAGGGAGAAAAAACCGGAGAACCCAGAAGAAAAACCCTCGAAGCACAAAAGAGAATTAAGCAACAAGCAACTCGACTCACTCGGGCACCGAGACCGCCAGGGCTTGAACCCGAGTCTCATTGTTGAGAAGCTGCACATTAGCAGTGATACGCCACCCATGCTTCCCTATGGAGGTCTGAGATGGGTGAACATTGCGTCCAAACACTAGATTTATTCACTTACCATCACTGGCAATGTAAGCAGTTCGTTGTATGTAGGGTTATTCTGCCGAAATTTTGTCGTAGTTGAAACCTTAGGTGGAAAGAAATAATAATTTTATCTTGGCTGTGCATCACCCTTAAGAGAGTGTGTTGAGACAAGATGTTTAACACCGCCTAGTTTTTCTTACCTTTTTTCCGCAGAAACCAAAAACCATGAACGGGTCAACCAGTTTTGCCTTCTCGTCTGCACTCTGAGGAGTGAAAAAAATTAAAAATTAAAAAAAGGGATTTTTAAAAAAACATGGATTTTTCTATCGATAGCCCGGAATAACCCCTGGGCATGGTATAAACTCACGAGATTGGAATTTATCGTCAAGTAAGGTTTTGCGCAGGAAGAGAAAGAGAAATCAAGGGAAAAGCGCAAATTCTGTTCTTGACATGCCAAAATTCTAAGAATCCAACACGGAACCACATGCAGAAGTAAAAATGTAACTGAACTATTGCATGCTACACCACCCTTGATTCACTAATACAGATCATGAATGAAATATTGCGATGTGAATATAGGTTTGTCACCTCTTTGTTGCCACCAGGTAAAAACCAACGTAGAATACTTCTTCCTAAACCTGTGTCCACTGAAAATACCCATAGAAAGTATTAGATTCATTACGTGTATCATTATCATCCAGATATCATCATCATCATCAACATGCAACACCATCATTATCATCATCAGCAGCAGCACCCATCACCAGCTTGCCTTATCATCATGTATCATCGATCATTATTATTACCATCATGTTTACTAGGGTGGGTCAACTTACTTCTTGGTAGATCTTCAGCTTGATAAACTTTGAGTAAGAATTTAGCTGGTTGTCTAACGAGACCAACAGGCATAAGACAATTCCTAAAAGAACGAAATAGAATTAAAGAAGCATGAAAATATACAAACTTCAATATGGTATCTAAGAATATCTTGTCACAGGTTACTATCTATTGCAAAACTTCTCCTCACGATTCAATGTCTTCTTCTTCTTCATTATCTTGCTGTGGTACATACTACAAAAAGAACAGAATTTTTTAAATTATTTTTTCTTCTTTTTTTTCTTTATATTTTGAATGAATAGAATCAAAGATGAGAAAAGACGTGTCACGCAATCTAAGAAGAGAGTTGCGTTACTTACTGGAGACTCGTCACCAGGTCCTAAAACCATTGCTGTCACCTTCAAATATCCCTAAGAGTTAAGAAACAATGGGTTGAAATTTCCATTTACCCTGGAAAAAGTATATAAGTCTTATTGCGGTTTAAAAGCTTTTTTGTTACACAGTGACGTAATACTATGAATTATAGCGAGCTCTGATTGGTTACAACTCGAAGCGAATGTCTGAAACACAAAGTCGTGTGCAAAGCCGCCAAGCTTAACAAAGCAACGAAAAAATATTTTCGAGCAAAAATAAGGGGAAATTTGAACTGAAACGCTCAAAAGTGTAAAATGTAAGTAAGAATCATTACATATATGTAAATTTTTTTATCTAAAAAAAAAAAAAACACAATTCACAGATATGTAAGCAAAAATATGTGCTCGGCGATGAAGACAAGATTAGCGAAATCTCAGCAAGGGGATTTTCCAGCCATGGAAGATCGAGATGCTAGAAAAATCAATGCTAAAATACTTCATAAGAAAGTCAAAGAGTACATTGAGGCATCACTCTTAGCTTTGAGTACGATAACTTTAGTCTTGCTTTGAAATTTTGGGATCGAATTCGGACGACGATAAACTCATTTAATAAGACACTGCGGAGTCAACCAAGATATATACTTACTTGAAGAATCATCTTGTGATGTTAAGATCTTCCATAGTTTTTTCCTGATTTTTAGTCATTAAACTATTCGACTATCGAAATAATTCTATTTAAACTTTTGCCATTATTCACTAATAAGTATTCCAAACATCTATAAGTTTTGAAAACTAGTTTCATTGAATCGTCTTCCCAATGTCTGAAACATTTCGCGCGTTTTTGGAAACGGAGTGCCCATTCGTACGCCCGTCGTACGTCACCCGCACGGCGACTTGCTATTCGTACGGGAGTCAAAAATTTCGTCGATTTTTTCAGGAACTCTGTATTCTTTTCCAACCTAATAAAGATATCTTTTTAGACCAGTTAGGCGATTCATGTCAGTGATGCAATTTTGATTCAAACTTGTTTGACGAGTCTTTACTCCGTAGCTAGCAACTCACTTTCGCGACATCGTGTAGTCTGACGTCAGTGTCACGGCGGGAAATGTCACGCAATAAAATTTATGGCGACTCCCGTACGAATTATTCGCGATTGTTATTCGTACGGGAGTCGGTTTAGCGAATATGGGAATTCAATCAAGTGACATGTACAGTGACTGCTCCGAGACATGCAGATAAACATGTACAATGTTAATTATAAGTGAATTATAAGTGAAAAATGTTGGTGAATATTCGCTGAACAGACTCCCGTACGAATAACAATCGCGATTGTTATTCGTACGGGAGTCGTCAGAAATTCTATAATGCGTGGCATTTCCCGCCGTAACAATGACCTCAGACTACACGAAAGAAATTCTAAGTGTCGCGAAAGTGAGTTGCTCGTAACATCACTGACATGAATCGCCTAACTGGTCTAAACAAAATATCGTTATTAGGTTTGAAGAGAATACAGAGTTCACGAGAAAAGGTGACGTAAGAATAGCCACTCCGTTTTGGAAAAGCATTTTTTATTTTACTAGTTGGGAGAATTCACGTTTTCGAAGGCTTAAAAACAAAGCTAAAACACAATTTTTGCACTGCTCTATCGGTAATAAAACAAGAAATGCCATCTTTGTTTTGTTGAATTAGTTTGAGTTTGAAAAATTCAGAAAACTGCCTATTTGAATCGAGTAAAAAAAATTAAAAAATTGAACTATGAGTGTAATTCATCCAATACTCCTTTTGAGTTTTCGTCACTTTCTGTTTTAGGCTAAGTAAGTGGGACTGAAATGCTATTTTACCGCTGTTTCTCCGTCTCTTCCTCGCTCTCTTGACTGTTTGGTCTACAAGTGAATCAAAAAATATATATTGAAATAACACATTGATTATTTTACAAAAATTTATGAAAAAAACAAAAGGAAATGGTCGACTTTATAGAAAATGAAAAATAAGAGGAAGGACTTGAAGGTTTAAGCTGGAACTGGGATTTGCTTCCATTTCTTAGCTTAAATTGAATGTAGGTACTGTGCAGAGACCGTTGCGATCAAGGTCACTGGGAATGGAAAAAAAAGGACCAACAATATTTTTCAAAATTTGTCCCTTGGTCTAGGATTTTGCAGGACATTGTATTTAATCCCTTAACAGGGCAACGAAAGGACTCCAATTCCATAGAAATTGTACCTCGAAGAGGGGATAGGTTACTCTCAATGGAAAAAGGAAAGTAAAAACGGTTTACCTCGCTATCATCTTCTRGTTTTTCCCCTGTTCCCGTCAACAGGATCCATTTTCTTATAAACGCGTGTTCTACAGTATAAAATTTGTATTAGTACAGATCAGTTGATAATAATAATGAGCTACTACGAAGGGAAGGTAGTGTTCATTACCTGGAAACTCATAAATTGCACCAATATCACTCTAAAAAGTAAAAAGAAAAATATATATTGAAAAAGATATTGCAAAATGAATGAATCAATTAATGAAACAAAGAAGGAAAGAGAGACCTAAAATAACACCGATACCTCAAAAAATCCCAGAAGTCTGTTCGAAACTATAAAGTTCTTTGAGTCGAACACCTAGAACAAAAAAAAAAAAAAAAAAGAGTTGGTAATAAACACAAGGTGTCACATTCTTTAATATGCAAAACGGAAAACTCCGCTCGTAAAATCAAGTACCTCCAACACGAGCAAGTTATCAAACAGTTCGGCCTCTGAAGTATGGAAGTTGAAGGTAAAGGTCTGTCAAAAAAAAAATCGATTTTCGGTTAATATAGTTAATAAATATGCATTTTTACAGGTCTGAATGATTAAATGCGAAAGACTTTAAGTGGCTTATTTCCAACGGCTTAATTATTTTATCGACTTTTTACTGCGATATATTGCCCAATCAACTTTTAGTGTGACGTCAATCGTATGGAAAAATAACTTGCACGTCCAAAACGTAAAGCAGTTCTTTAAAGATTTTTTTTACTTTTGCTTCAATTGCTTCAGGTAGGGATTTGATCACTGAGAAGAGTTTTTGCTTTATTTTAGTGGCTTTTGCGAGTAGGGTTGGACCCCAAAATACACCTCAATTTAAAAGCTCTATTGGATTGGTCAAGGCCAAGAGGAACGCGCGCTCAGAAGACAAGGACACAGAAACTTGAATTATTTGATCATGCGCATGACAGGCATTTTCTTCCCGCCATTATATTATGATAATGAGATTGATAAGATATTACCGCTGACCTGATTGAAGACAGGATTATTTGTAGAGTTTTTCTCTCTTGTTTGCTGTTTCTGGTTTTTGACCGTTATTCTCGTAATTGGAGAAATGTTTACTCCAGGAAGCTGGCGTCCTTCGTGGATCGTTACACGAATTTTGTAGTGCTGTACTTTCGTTGACCACTCTCTTCGTCCCTTTCTTAGGGTTCTCCTTCTCCTCTTCCTGCTGTAAGGAGAAAATATTAAAGGTACATATTGAACAAGTGCATCTAGACTTTACGATGGAAACAATTTTACGGTATAATTATTATGTGATTGCACGACACGTCGTTGGGGACGTGTTGTGGTATTAAATGCCACCAACATGACCACCATGACGTTCCGGCTCTTTTGAGTCTCTTTAGAATGCTTGCAACCCATTCATAGAGATTAACAATAAAAAATAAAAAAACCCAAAATGATAATCTAAAAAACAACAATTTTATTTACTTTTACTCAGACATTCAGGCTCTCAATCCGGGATCCTGATAAAATACGGCCCATGTTCCTATATTCTTGGCGTGCATGCTGCTTCATAGCCGCCATGTTGGTTGACGATAACAAAGCATTCCTCATTTAGATATCTTGTTAGATCAACCAACATGGGGGCTGTTTTAATGTTATTTATATTTCAAGGGATTTTGAACCATGTGGTTGCACCCCAAGAATAGCACATATACATGCAGCAGTAAATTTCTCATACTTGAATTCGGTATCTGTCTTTCTCGTACCTTTTTCTTTGTGCTGTAACTCCTTGTTCTTCATCCTTTTCCGCCTCTTCATCCTCGGATTCTTCATTCATGTATTGTAGTTCATACTGCTGTGTTTCTAACTCGACTTTAGAAGGTTTGTACTGTAGCCTCAGAACTATCTTGGACTGCGCAACAGACAATATAGAACTTCAGCAAAAGTATGAATGAATTGTTACACCACGTTTTTGTTCACGCTATGCAATGAAAATGTACAAAACCAGAGAGAGGCGGAAGGGACTAAAAACATACTCTTCAGCATAGCTTTCTCATGCTTTTATGACAATTATCATATACCCGATCCCTTCTATATCTCGAGGATTCTGTTGCTCGATCAATGCGCGTTTTAATTCTTGAACGTTAGCTTTTAAGGGTATATGACATGATGGATAATAACCTCTTCTCTATTATTCATTTTAGGTAATCATAGATGATTATGAATGTATAAAGGGTCGTGTGGTCTGATCCCACTTTGTTGAATGCGATATGTGGACTAGGTGATGAGTGGTCAAAGCTGTCATCCACGTCATGAAAGAACAATGGATGCTCACTACATCAGGTGCGTACATGATTGGTTAAAGCAGGCAACTCTTAAACAGCTTTCCAGCCCCACCCAAAAGCTATGTATGTTTGTAAACTGACTACTATTAATTCTCCTGTCCMTAGGCGAAATCCACTCGATCTAACATTTGTCCTTTTCGCGTTCCAGAAATGCTACGTTAATGTTCATGATCATAGAATACATTCATTCCTACAGTCTCCCACACCACTGGCTTATGACTTTTAAGCCAGATTAAATTTAGATATAGCTTTTTACGAAGAGGAAAACCGGTAAATGTTACTCACTGTGGTAGCTCTGTCATATTTGTCTAGAAGTGGATAGGTACGTTCCAATGTGTAATCTTTAGTCTTCAGTAGTTCTCCCAATGATATCGTTACTTGACCAAGAATTCTGTCAAACAAATCAGTACATCATAATCGATAATGCGCAGTCTGATTGGTAAACTGAAATTTCAGCTGTGAAATATAGTGATACATAGTCAGCCGCTAGTCAGTGCAGTGCAATAGTTATTCAAATTGGTCGCCATATTTTGATTCGGTGTATCAGAGACAATTTTTCTATAACACCGAGGGTAGATTTTTTTTTTTTTTTTTTTNTGGAAACATAAAAGAGTTTACAATACATGAGAGGCTACTGAGTCAGTTGCTATAGTCAGTTGCTATAGTCAGCGCATAACAATAGTTATTCAAATTGGTCGCCATATTTCGATTTGATGTATCAGTGCTACACTTAGTGTGCTTGATGATGAGAGGGAGTATGATAGACAATTTTTCTATAACACCGAGGGTAGATTTTTTTTTTTTTTTTTTTTCTTTCTTTAGAAAATATCATTACCTCTCCACCCCCCTCCCCCAAAAAGTAGGATAACTAGATTGAGCGCCGCCATTCCAGCACGCATGTTAACTTACTTTCTTTGAAAGATTTTTTCCCAGTCTTTCACTTTGACATCAACCTCATCACTGGAAGAAAGAGCTTGTCCACTGACGTCCCATTCCAAGACGTTATTCTAAAATAAATTTGAAACAAGGACGATAAGCCTGTATTGTTTTATTCGTGTAAGGGACCGTGTAGGGGGAGGGGTGGGGGCATACATGGGTTCTTAATACCATTGAAGGGGAGATTAGTAATGCATAGACAACTTGTCAGGTATCACATTATGGACGTTTCATAATGCCTTGCGATCCAAGATGGCCGCCGTATAGTAGAAGTAGTCGACTGAAAGCAGCAACTACTAGTATTTATTAATAATTGGGTCCACAAAAAGACAGTCATGCCTTATGGGAGTTCGGGATCAGTCAATCTTTATTATGTCGGTAATATACTCCTTGCATGTGACGTCAAAGCAGCTCAATTTGGAGGACAAAACAAAAGAATTTGAGTCTCCTGAGAATTGGAAATCTATTGTTGTGTCCTCCAAATTAATCTGCGTTCCGACGTGCTTTAAGGGGTCTATAAAAGTACTCCGACCAAATGGTGATGAATAATGTCTCTAACTCTTKTTTTACGATCTTACATTTTCTTCTTTCCACACAGGGTTGAGATTATTTTCGATGTAAGCTGTCTTTCTCTCTTCTCCTGTTCGATAATAAAGAGATTGGACCAGTGTAATTAGTTCTTGATTTTATTGGAATGAAGTCAGCAGCTCGTATTAGTCATGATGGATTAAATCTGATCCACTCCAACCAAGCCAAAAAAAAAAACAACTGTAAGTAGTAAGTATAGGAAATCGCACGATCTCGAGTACAATTTGGAAATTAATAGACACGAGTAATGTTTTGAAAGTTCTTGTAATTGCACGAGCCTTTAGGCGAGTGCAATTAAAGAACTTTCAAAACATTACGAGTGTCTATTGATTCCAAATTGTACGAGAAGATCGTGCGATTTTTTTGTTTATAGTTCACTCAACAAAATTTCAGTAAAAAAWRCGCATCGACGCCGTTCACCTTTGTCTATTCAGTCCATCGCGCAACTGAAATGCATAAAAAAGATTAGTTCTTACGGCTTTAAAATTTTGTTTATGTTTTTTAAGTACAAAATGATAGAAAATAAATGTTTTGACATTGTTTTGGCCGTGTTGCCATAGCRACTTAATTCGGTACTCCTACGGAGTACAATTAACGCTATAATTGTACTCCTCCCGACCAATCAGAGTCGAGTAATTTTGTTGAGTGTACTATAAGTAGTAAAATAGGTTGTGCTCAAAGGAATAAGTATTTTGTCACTATCAATGGACGTCATTTCCGGTCTCGTTTGCATTTTTTTTCGGCGTAATGGCAAATTACCTATGAAAATGTACCAAGCAATTCTCTACTTTCACATCCCCGTAATACTTTGCTTCTTTGGGGGGTAACCAGAGGGTAAAAACCCGCTTATTTTGCTGAAGGCTGATCAGACAATGTTGACAATACCTTGTTTGGTATCCAAAAATAAAATGAAGAAGTAAAAAACAGAAAAAGATAGAAGCTTGAAGACGTTCAAGGTAAATTTTAAACATTTTTTCGTAATTCAATACATTTTCTGTAAGACCAAAACTCTTGATGGTCTGTACACGCAAAAGTAACTTGGAATAAACTGATAATCAGTATTGTACAGATAAAAGCAGGTATAGTATAAATTCAATTAAGAAAAATTTCAATTTGGGACAGTTTTTTGATTGGTTACCCCCCAAAGACGCAAGGTATTATGGGGATGTGAAAGTAGAGAATAGCTTTAATGTGAATCATTTTGGACTACTAGTACTTCATTTAACTAATGTGCATTGTTTGATTTAGTGATTTAGCCATCCTGATCATAGTCTGAGCTTTACAAACACTTGGCATCAATTAAAATAAACTTAGTATCAATACACCTGATTATCAGAGACGGCGGAGCACTTTTTAAAGTAGTAAAGGGAGGATGGACAGTTATCTCTGTTTTTCTTCATAGCATAATACTCCAGTTTCGATTTCTCTTTGCTTAGCCTTAATTAGTCTCACATGCGCGTTATAATAGTATTCAACTATTCAACCAAAACCTGTGCATTTTACTCATTTTGATTAATATTGTGATTAAAATACACTTATTTCAGTAAAGTTAGTCACCTGAAAAACTATAAAGCTGAGGCCGACAAGGATTATGGGTAGATTCATTTTACAAGTTCAACCGCTCGATAACTGCTCATGGACTTGCGAATCTTTTACCATTTACAGTCTCACCTCTTCTGAGCATCATCGAGCTGCATGTATTAAAAAAGCTTTGCATATATATACTTTTTTTGATATGAAAAGTTTCCCATGATGCTCAGTGATCTCAGCTTTCTAGGTTTTTGGTGACTAACATCATTGAAATAAGTGTATATGAACCAATTATAAAATACAGAATTAATCAGAAATATTACATAAGGCGAAAATATGAAATATTCAGATATAGATCTCGAGTTTGCTGGACGCAAAATAATAAGTAAATGCATAAAATGGACGTGTTGATGAGCATCCATTATGGGTGCGTCGTTCACGAGTTTGCTGGACGCAAAGTAAGAAGTAAATGCATGGAATAGACGTGTTGATGAGCATCCATTATGGGTGCGTCGTTCAGATGAACCCAGGCGAGGAAAATTATTTTGTATTTTAATAAATTTTGAAACCATTATGCAAATAGGGCTTTTAAACTTTCCGTTAACTTTATTGTTTTCTTTTTTTTTCCGAAATATATATTATTGTTCAGTGGCAAAGGATCTTCACAGAAATGAAAAAAATTAGTCAAACCTACTCAGCTTTACATTTTTTTCAAAAAGAAAGTGAAGACTAAAGTGTTATAACACTACAGAAATAACTGAACAATTACCCCGCGAGCGGAATAATCAAAAGACTAGACCGTGATAGCTATTTCAAGTGTTTTGACTATAAGATATTAAAAAATAATGTTTGATAAATCATCGACAATTATTTATCTACACTAGAATTGTTGAAATTGTTTTTGAAAAGCCGTTAGTGAGCCTCTTCAATAAGCTTTTGCTCTTGGGGCAAACTAAAGACTATATGAGTCTAATTATATATATTTTTTGAAAATGTAAAAAATGTGAGTCTCCGGGCCGTAAAAAATTCTATCGCTCGTTTTAGAGTAAACTTAATCAAACAAATACAGTATTCACTGGTATCAGTTGAACGTAAAATTTTGTCATTCTGACTTTCATCTTAGTGTTTTTCTGAGTTTTATGGATTTTTGTGTTATCGGGTTAGTTCAACTTAAAATACAAAGCTGTTGTGCTATAACAATAGTTCGGATCCAATAGTTCTATAGATGTTAGTCATATGAATTTCAAAGTATCAGTCAGCACCCTCTTACCTCGAAATGTGGCCTTTACGTAAGGGTCGCTCTTGTTAGAAGGCCCAAAATCCACATCTCTGAGATTACTCGCCGATAGTACGACGAGTTTGAGCATGTTTAAAGCCCAGAAAATAAGGCGTCCATTTTAAGCCGATATTGCAAGATGGATTCGCGTCTGTTGTGGTAAATGAAGCAGAGCGTGGAAATGGTTTATGAAATACTTTAAGACTTCGTTACGGTCACCTGGTTTCCTTTTATTTATTTGAGTTTTACTATTATTATTTATTTTTGTGTCGTTAAATTGTGATACTTCATGAGGTTTTTGTTTATTAAGATCATAGCAACACRGCCAAAACGTCAGTATACAAACGCCGGTTTTCAAACTGACGGTGTCTAAGTTTCCTTCTCTTTCATTTGGCCTGAATATCAAATGTTAAATCCTTTTTATTTTGTCAAAAAAAAAAAAAAAAAAAAAAAAAAACTATAAATATTGATAGAAGTTTTTATAAATTAAGTGCTGTGATACCTTAAATATAAAGCTACGTTATCTTAAATTTCAGACTTGATTACGACGCTTTAATAGTACGACAACTTCATGTATGGCACAAACATGTATCACCAAATACATTTATTGGTAGGAATAAAAAAATGTACCATGCACAACGTCCCTTGCTACCATTCGACAACTGAATATGAAAATTTTGTAGAAATGAAGCTCACTTCTCAACAACATTATATATACAGATAATTTTGAGATATAATGCAATTTTGACTGACATTCTATTCCGGAGAGCTTCGGTACCGAGAGTAGAATATTTATAGAAATAAGAATATTCTACAGGTATATCATCAGGTTTAATTTCCGCATCCTATATTTGTTCAATATTAATTTGGCATTTTTCTTTGAAAAGTACAGCTATGCCACAGCTGTACTGTGAATACAGGCGAGCTAACACGCAGCAAGTTACCTGAAATTACACAAAAAACCTTTCGGACTTTTTTCTCTGAAAAAGCTCAGTTGGACTACAAAACCCAATTTTCACATCTTTTTATCAATTGCATTAAAAACAACGAATTTACGAAACTGCTTTTTTCTTCCAAACAATGGGGAAACTATTGCGCATGCTCGGAACTCTACCACCATTGCTAATCCCTTATTTCTTACTGCGCATGCTCCTCGGCAAACCKGCGCTGTAAGAAATAAGGGCTCTGGGTACGAGATTGCGACCACTTTATTCGCTAGTCGAGACGACCGCGCGATATCGATAGGGAAACCGGGCAATAGATACCCTGGGTGCCAGAGGCCGCGTGGGGCTTGTTAGGCAACAGACTACCGTCAATCAAATAAATTGTTCGCACYTTTACATACTCTGATTGACAGTAGTCTATAGCCTAATCTGTTGTCCCGATCAACGCATAGCAATAAAAACAGTGGTAACATAAAAGTAAAAAACTGAAAATTGATGTTTTTTTCCATGTTTGAAACCATAACATTTTTCGAGTATAGCTATGATAATAATGAATAAAAGTGCAAATTTCCTAACATTGCGCATTTGGTAGTACAATCTTCTGGTATAGATGGGGTCTGTATAACACTTTATATTAAATTTTTGACCTAACATTCGACATGTAAAAAATGGATCCCATAAAACATCATCTTCATCACTGATATTGAAATGCTCTAACAATATTGCACACACTTGCGATCTTAGGAATAAATTTGCAAGTTTTTCCCTAAAAAAAGATTTTACAGGTTTTTGAGTTTTTATTTTAGAAAATATCAAGAACATTTTCCCTTTACTTCTAGGTTTTCAAGTATGTCAGACTGCGTGACAATAAGAAAACCACGAGATGGCGTGAAACAGGACGAGTCGGGCGTGACAGATTCTTTTCATACTATCACTCATTCAACTGCCCCTTTGGGTCGCCTAGGTATTTATTTTGCAAGGATAAAGTTTCCGTGCAGAGTACAGTGTTCTAACTGGCGTGGCAGCGGAATTGGAGCAGAACACAGAAGCTTCGCTCAAGGCGTTGGCGAATCTTACTTGGTTTTTGCTTGCTTCGTAACTTGTCCATGAAATTCGATACAAGCACCAGCAATGCTTAGAGTAACAGTACAGAAGGCAACCAACTTGCCTGACGTTGACTTCCGTGGCAAAAGCGATCCGTATGCGAAACTTAGTTTTCAAGGTCGGTAGCTAAGCTTTCACTCTTGAATATTTATTATTTTTCCTTTTTTCCTTTTCCTAGCTTTATATTTGCTTCTTCATATATCTTTACCTAGGACTCTATATTCTGTAGTGTTATTGTACTCTTTCAGTACTAACAATTTACACTTAAATTTAAAATATCTTAGAAGAAGCTTTGGAATGACCTCGAACATTTCAAAGCTTTATCGTTAAACCAATTTACAACTCTGTACCTCAAGCATGGTGCATCTATCTTCTTATTTTTATACCTTGTAAATTTTCTGTTGCTACATCCTTTGATACTGTGTTGTATAAGTTATATGAAGTAGAATGTTAATTCAATGTACAAGATTTGTCAAAATCACAATCTTTCATCTTGCAAGATTCTTGTACTCCAACTCAAATATTTTCAAATCAACTGCTCTTTTTATGCTGTTTAAAATGCTTTTGACCTTCACTAGTAATACTCTCACTTAAAAAGTAAATATGAATTAGGAAGGCTTAAAAGTAGTTTGGGTTTTAAGAATTGAAGACCAAATTATGATTCCTCAAATGCAGTAGAACGGACCAAATATCACTTCAATTAACCATTCAACCGTTTTCAATCAAAATGTTTTAAAGAGGAATGTAGATATACAATCTTTCTTTAATATATCACCAATACTGACATGTTTCTGGTTAATGTCAGCTATTTTATTGGCTAGGAACAGGATTTTTTTATTATTATCGTGCTTGCTGTTGGTCAATATATTTCGGCGTCGAATCACTTTAACCAAACGCTTGAATAAATTATTTGTTCACTCGACCACGTCAAGTATGAAGTTTACAAGACTTTAACCGTTAAATTATTTATTTAATCCCTTAGAAAAAACAAAGTAACACAAATTAACTCGTCACTTCGCTTAGCATAAATAGGAAATAAGTAATAATCTTGGTTGTTTAGCAAAGGGCTTCCCAGCTGATGTTTAATAGACTCGACGCATTGTATTGGCTTCACGCTTATCTGAGACCATTCATTATGAACAATATGCTTATAGATTTCTCTATCTGTTTTCGGACTGTTATCTTATAATAATTTAACTTGGCAAATTTAAGTAATAAAGAGATCTTAATTGAATAATTTAATTTAGATTTCGAACGCTCAAGGATAAATTGAATGTATACTTTTATTTTGTCAATAAATTTCTAGCCAGAAAAAATAAATTCTCTTAGTAATGGGAACACGAGGAAAACCAATGTATGTGTTAATTTATGGGGTGCCATTACCGCCAATATTCAGCTACTGGTTTATGTTTATGATCCTCTAAAGATGGAGCTTGTAATTTCATTAATGGAGCTTTTTTCTTGAAATGATGCTTTGAACACGAAGCATCCGATATTAAAATGGAGCTGTTTTTATCAATATTGGAGACTTAATTTTGTCAAATGGTGCTTTGAAATTTATGGAGCCGTTTTCATGCAGCTTTCGGGTTTTTATTATGCAGCCTCTTT